GTTATGGTAAGGAGGCCTTGTCAGGTTTTGAAAATCTCAATCTTCAAATGTTGTCCAGGAAAAACACATCAAAATAGTAAAGCATGGTGTCCTTTCCATCTCCAAACATGGAGGATCATGGGGATGGGGGAGATTTTCATAGGCTGCTTGCTGCAAGTGAGTACTCCACTGGCTATGGAGTCACCTTTTTGGGCCCACGCTTGTCATTGAAGCACCCAACAAGGAGAGGATTTACTAATGAAAGAAGATGAGAAGGCATCAGAATGAAAAGGAAGAACAGTTTCAATGTCCAAGGGTGTGATCACAGCCATGCGGATTTCAAAAATCTGTGTTGTAGTAGTGTGTGCTTTGTTAATCTTTCAAAGCACTGTTACTCTGGAAGGGATTTCTTTCATTCCTCCCTACTTATGTATGTATTCATGTAGGGGTTTGAAGGCAATATATGAATTGGCTGGATATGCACATATTTCAGTACCCTTTCTTCATGTTGACTCACAAAGGTAATGCTTCAGTTGTGCTATATTTTCTCTCTCCCCACCCCCGTCTAGTCCTTAGTTCAATAAAGTCTGCATGTCACACCTTTTGGTGCTCCACTCATCAATTAGATTCCCTGGAGATCAGCTCTGTGAATGACTCAGGCGAGGCACTGACTCTTACCTCCCAAAGTGGCCCAACCTAGCTGTGGCAAGTGCTGTTGTCATGCTTACCATTCCCTCAACACCCTTTTGTCCCTAGATTGATAGGTGAGGAGGGACCATTATTCAGTGGTAGAGAAATGGTTTGCATAGAAAAAGGTCCCAAGTTCAATCCCTGATACCTCCAGTTAATATGGAGTAGGTAATAGGAAAGGCCTTTGCCTAGTACCGGGATGCGGGTGGCGCTGTGGGTTAAACCACAGAGTCTAGGACTTGCCGATCAGAAGGTTGGCGGTTTGAATCCCCGCAACGGGGTGAGCTCCTGTTGCTCGGTCCCTGCTCCTGCCAACCTAGCAGTTCAAAAGCACCTCAAAGTTCAAGTAAATAAATAGCTACCGCTCCAGCGGGAAGGTAAACAGCTTTTCTGTGCGCTTCTCTGGTTCGCCAGAAGCGGCTTATTCATGCTGGCCACATGACCCAGAAGCTGTACGCCGGCTCCCTTGGCCAATAAAGCGAGATGAGCACCGCAACCCCAGAGTCGGTCACGACTGGACCTAATGGTCAGGGGTCCCTTTACCTTTTATGCCTAGTACCCTGGTTAGCTTCTTTCCAGTCAAAGAACAATAAGAACATGAGAAGAGCCTGCTGAATCAGGCCAATGGCCCATTTAATCCAGCATGTTCTCACAGTGACCAACCAGATAAATGCCTTTGGTGAGACTGAGTGCAACAGCATTCCCCCTACTTGTGACTCCCAGCAACTGCATTCAGAGGTACACTGCCTCTGACAGTGAAGGTAGAACATAGCCATTGTGGCTAGTCACCCTTGATAGCCTTGTGTTCCATGAATGCAGAGAATACTAGAATATTAGGCTAGATGGCCAACTGATGTGGCGTAAAGTAGCCACAGAAGAAATAGTTATGGGAAGCATATTCTCTTACATAGAACTAACCTTTTCCATTTGTTGTACTGAATGGAGACAAATAAGAAATATAGGAGAATGGATTGAGCTCTAAGAGCAGCTCTTTTATCCTCTTGGTACTTCAGTAGAGCTGATTTCATGCATTGGAAACATTATTCAGACATGACTTAGCTTTTTAGTATATTGTATTTTAAAATGGGGTTTCAGAGTTTTTAGGGGGTTTTGAAATAAAGATATCGTATCATATTTTAAAGTATAATCTAAGTTAAGCCAGTGGTGGTTGTCCTGTGTTCAGTACTGGAGGTGTGGTCATCGTTCCATCTCCCTTTGATGTTAGAAGCAGCAGGAGGATTGTTGGTAGTGCAAACAGGCTATAACTACACACAAGTGCATTTTTATGTCTCTGTTGTTCTTTTGGAGCACAGATCCTTGACCTTTGCTGTGTTGGCATTATGCCTACCAATAAACAACAATAAATAAAAGAATTAATAGTGCTATTGGAGTGGCAAAACTGGGCTTTAGTGGTGCACAAGGGAATTTCCTGTGCTAATGCAGTGTTGTTGGATTTATTCCGGGGGGGGGGGAATTCCCTTGAAGGACTAGCTGGCGGGGTGTGCATTAGCGGCAGGGATGGGTTATAAGCAAGGTGTTCAGTGTTCTTCTGCCACCTGGATTACTAAGCAGTCTCCACTGAGCCTGAGAATGGAATGCAGAGAGAAATACCAAACAGTTTTCCATAGTGTCTAGTTGGAGCCAGTATGGGTCCAGGGGTCACCTTCTACTGATGAAGCTGTGCTAAGCTAAGGGATGGCGAGATTCCCACAGCCACTTGTGGCTTTTTCTCAGAGATGTATTACTGTGAAATGAAATACATGCATTAAGGTAGTTCTTTGTAGGAAAGAACTCCTTTTACACCATGGTCCCTCTGTGTGTACCTGAAGGTGTCCAGGTGAGGACAATATTTTCTGCCTCTCACGAAGTAGCCTCTAGTCCATGTTCATATTTAAGGTGCTTTAGGACTCTTTTTATTGTTTTTGCTACAACAGACTACCCCTCAGGGTGTTACATGTGAAGGTAGCCCTGATGATGATAGGATTTGGCTTCATGTTCATTCAGGGGTCTGTAGTATGTGAACCCCATAGCAAACCTTTATATATGGGTCACTTTTGGATTTGACCCTGGGGGTCTTGAGTTCAAGTGCCAGCTCTATTGCAGGCCATGGGTAAATTGCCACCTTTTGTAAATTAAGCATGATAATGACTTGTCTCAACAGGTTTGGTGTTGATGTGAATGACATAAAGTTTGTGAAACACATAGTTCTTCACAAGTCCTACAGAAATGACGACCCCTTTAAGGAATGCTACTTATGTGGCTGCGCCAGCACAGCTTTGCTCAGTGCTATGGTTATTTCTATATCTCTAGAGGCTGGAACCAGAATGATGGTGATGGCACCATGCTGTTTCTGTCAGGGAACTGTGCCATATATATAAAACCTAGGGATCATCTGGAAGCTCTTTAAAATTACCAACATACTCTTTTTGCCGCTCTCTGCCCTGTGGAAGGTTCCTTTGCCTAGAGCCTGTAAGGGTGATCCCATGACAGTGAGTGTTTTATTAGTAGCAGGTGTCTGAGTATCCCTTGAAACCTGAGCTCTCTCTGTCCCCTCACCTGACAATGAACTCAGGACCAGGGCATCCCTGCCCGGTGCCAGAGATTATTGCTGCCCATAACCTGACAACATCATCCTATTGGTAGGGACAGGCGTGTAATGTGCAATTTCTCAGTGGCATGGCGTTCTGTTTGCTTGGTGCACTGATCTATCGTGGCCCTCCCCATCCTGTAGCCCTGGGTGCTGTCAGCTTGGGATTAGGACCACGATTTAGTGGCTGCCACTAATACCTCTTCAGGGACTGGATCACTGTCTGGCAGGAAGCGAAAGGGAAAACCACCCTTGGAATTCAAGTGAAATTGCCACTGCAGACAGAGAGGCCTACCCAGTGTGAGAGGTGAGGGTAATCCTCCTAAGAGCAGGAGTAAATCTGCAGAAAACAGACCCTACCTAGTGACATTAATTCTCTAGCGCTTAAGGTTAATTCAGCAGTCCTATGAGAAGTAACTGGACTTGGGCATTAGCCATTGGAGGCTCCACCCATAATAAATGTGGTGAAAAGCACTCTTATCAGTACATGGTGTAATAGAGAGATGGGCTATTGACATTGTCTGAGAATCTAGGCAAAGGCTATTAGATTCAGGCCTCTCTTTCTAGAATGGAGAGCCAGTGTTCTCCACATTTTTTCCAGTCTCCTGGAAATGTTCCTAGTCTGTTTAGAATAGTGAGATAATAGGCAGAGGGAACAGGACAAGAAGGAATTCCTTGGGGATTCTCAGTTGCTTTGACTTTGCAAGACAAGAGGATTGTTTTGGAGACAAATGAGAGACTATAGAGATTGTTGAGGCTACCTGAGTTGCAGATTATGGTGTCCTCTGAATTATTGAGCTGTTTGCCATGCACTGCGCTGTCATTGGGAAGTCCTGCCCCACCAAGTATATTTAGGGAAACAACATCTCACTGAAGCATATTTGCTGAATAATGTGTGCAGTGTGCTATATCAGCTGTGTGTCTTTTAATTTCATAACTGCCCCCATACAGGCCTGATCTGCAGGCTGTCCTGTGCCATGTTAGTGCACTCTGTGGCCACCGTAAAGCAATGTCATTGTTGTTCTCTCCACCATGTCAAGCCTGACATTATGTGCTCTGAGGCATTGTGTGTGACAGTGTAACAGTACTTACTCTTTCAAGTACAACTCAGCCTTAGAGCTTGCCCTCCCTCTTCCGCTGCCAGGCTTTTCCTAAAGTGTCACTTCCTCGCTGTTTCTCTAGATCCAGCATTGCCGGCTTTGTTGGCTGAGACATTTAGCCTTGACTGGAATGCAGGGCCATGTTGGCCCCCTGCCAGCCCAAACATCCCCACCCTAGTGCACGACACAAGGTGATAAGAATGAGTGCTGTGAGTGGGCTGGGATCCCTCACGGAGGGGCAAGTATCTTATGCCCAGCCCATAACCCTCCCACCACATGACCTTAGAGGCCATCGTTAATCATGTGTGTGTGTGTGTGTGTGTGTGTTTCTTTTCCTTTAGCATCCCTATGAAATGTTCTCAGCGTCTCTGTGGGCCAAACCCACAGTGCCTCATGCCCGAGACCGACTACTAGCAGACTGCTTTGATGGGTAGGGGCTTGACTATATATTTGGCATTCCAGCTGCAGCACGCAGAGGGTGTGAAAGCTTTTGCTTGACAAACTCAGAGTGCTGTCGCCTCCCTGCCTGCCTGCCAGCCAGCCAGCCAGGCCACGGATATTTTTAGGCTCCAAATGTCAAGGAATTTTTCACCTTCTGTTTTTTGTTTTTGTGTTTTCAGTTTGTTTTGTTTCTTTTCCTTTTTAAAAGGAATTTTTAGCTCAGGCGGTGAAAGGTGCCCCTGACTGACAAGCTCAGAGACTGAATCCTCTATTTATCGCCAGGCAGGTAACGGTTTCCACATGCCACCCACCCTGTCTCCATGGCCCATTCAGTCATTTTGGTAGCTACAATAACCCTTTGCTTGCCTGCTGTACCCACATCCTTCCATGGGATGTCTGTATCAAAGCTGGCAGAGGCAGTGAGGGATGCAAGCAATTTCATCTCTACTGTGATTACTCTCCTTTTTTTAATTGACTCCAGAATCCTGGGATTCAGATAGTTGCTCCCATCTCAGAAGCACCACCTCATAAGAGCACATATAGCCATCCTTTCCAAGTCTGATATCCCTCCCCTACTCTCACATCTGAGCCCCTTTCGAAGTTCCCAACAGGGTGATTTTTGACACTGTCTTAGCTTCTGTGCTGAGTGTGACTGGAGGAAACTACCCATGGAAGCTTGATGGAGGTATCTTGATCAGGGTGATTCCTTCACAGTGTGGTGGCTCCCACCAGGGGGAGCCAACAGCCTTTTCTTTGGCCTCAGGGTTCTGGTATTTGATGGAGACCAGGCTAGTCAGGCCCTTCTTGGCTGCTCAGGAAGGTATATGAAGTTTGAAACATGCCTCTGTCAAGACTACAACAATTACAGTTTTTAGCTTCACATAGCTATCTTATTTGGGGGCAGGAAACAGGGTCTTGGGAGTGAAGTAATCTTGAACCCATCATACCACCATCTTTGGGGTTGGGCATCTGAATCATTAGTCACAACATGCAAAGCCAAGATTCTGAGGATAGTATGGGTATGGTGGAACTAAAATTAGTAGGCCCCATTCTTCCATCTTAGGCCTACCCAGAACATAATGGTGCCTGAATCACACCTGACACTGCCTGTCCACCAATGGACTCTTCACCATTACTCCCTATGGTGTAGCCTGAACTTTGCTAGGAAATCCCTCCCTCTGCAAGTGCTGACGTAGCACTTCCTAGTATCATATGCCATCTTTGTTGATGGGAAGTTCCTATTCATTTGGGAGCAAATTGTTTTCAAAGTTCAAGGGGCTATTCCCTGGAATAGAGTGCTTCCTGGAAGAATACTTCACTGTGTAGAGATTGCAGTTTAACCAGTTTACACCTGCCCTTTTCCATTACATCTGTAGATTCTGTACTTGGATAGCACTGTCAGCATCCAAAGTGCATTCTGTGTAAATTCCGGATTTGCACTTTCCCAGTGGCATATTTGTAAGTTGACTTTACCATGATTGCAAGGGCAGACTTGGTGGGGTCATGGGGTCAGTAGAAATGTATTTTAACAAGGGTAGACAACCTGGTGCCCTCCTGATGCTCTACTGCAGCTCCCATCATCACTGATCATGTTGGCTGGACCTGAGAGGAGATAGGAGTCTAACATCATTTGATGGTACCACCTTGGCTACTCCTGCTTTATAACAGTCCCTTCTGATTCTGGGCAGTGCCTCTGGGCATTAGTTTCAGAGCACTATACTATCTTCTAGCAATATAGTCCTGAACTTTGTGTAGAGGGGAAGGCTGTGCATGGGAAACAGGAGAAACCTTTGTTAGGATGCAGGGTAAGGAGTGTTCCTTTAGGGTGGAACCCTTGTTGTTGGGGAGATCCCCTTAGGAAACAATCTAAGGTATTTGCACTTGTGCCAAATGTTTGGCCAGGTCTTGAGCAGGGAGAGAAGCCTCCTTTTTCATGTGGCTGCTTGCAAGCTTTTGTTGGCATCCCTAGGACCTGCCCAACTCACGGGCCATTCAGAATTTTTACATCACCTTTCTCGTCCTGTGTTATGTGTGTTTTGGCCAGAGGAGAATCCCACTGCAACCTACGCAACAGAAAGGGCCATTCTGCCTGAGAGAATCCAGGCTAGAGGAGATGTGGGGGCAGGTGTCCCAGAGCCTGAATAAATGGGGAGAGGGAGGGAACTGGGCCAAAGACCATTGGCTCTGTGGGCTATGAATGAGACAGCTGTGCACTCGTAGGCCTACCTTTCTCCTCTGTACCAAAAGCACTGAACTAACATTCAATGCAAGGGACCAGGCAGATGGCCAAGTACTGCCTGGATGAGGTCCCCTCTCCAGCATCTAGGAGCCAAATGCCTGTGCAGATTCCATTCCATTTCATTCTCAATGCAGACATCCATGTAACTGGACAGCAACCGTCTCCCAAACATTAGCTGCAAGGTGCTTTGGGTAGTGCTCCTTTTCTGAAGATTGGAAGCCAGTTGGTCAGGTTGTACTGTCTTCTCACATTTTGATAGCTGAGAGCAGAGGGCACTCCAAGGGCAGTCCATCCTGCACTGGCTGGATATGTGTCTCTTTGGAGAAATGTTTAGGTTGTGCCTTCCTTCCAGATGCTAGGACAAGTATTCACTTAGAAACTCCAATGTAATGTCTGGAGTGCTAGAGTCCTGGGTGTTCATGTTCTTGGAGAACGGAAGGTGCCTTGGAAGATGTATATGGGAACAAGGAAGTTGCAGGCAGATATGTGTTTCTATGGTTAATCCCTTCTCTCCCTCCTGTTTTTGTTGTGGCTGAGACACTTGACTCAGTGGTAGACTTATTGGTGTATCCACTATTTCCTGCTGAAGTTTTAGGTCAGGATGGGACAGTGTTCCCGCATGCTTTCTACTTCCTGTGATGTTTCGGGCCAAGTCACTGATAAAGGGGAAATGGGTGCTCTGAGTTTACCCAAAAACCACAAATCCTTCAAACCGGCCTACATGGTTGGTAATCAGCTGTGCCCACTTCATTCTCAAACGCACCCAAATTCCCTCCCTAAGCCCATAATCTGGGTTGATTCCATTGGAAGCGTCTGCATTCTCCATCTGTGTTGTCTTGCCTAATCCTGAAAGGAGGTGTACTGGCTGTTGCTTAGCCCATCCCCATGGCCTTTGATTGCTCTCTGCCTCTTAGGCTCCTGTCTCGCCAATCCAGTCTCTTGCCAGCATTCCACATCTTCAAGAAGTTGCAAAATGACGCAATGCTACTATTATGCTCCTTGTTTACAGAAGGGGTTGATGCCATGCTGTGGTCTTCAGCCCATCTTTGCTTAAACCAGTGAACAAAAGTAATGGGTTGTGCCTTACCAGCCTTTGTATTGCAGGAAATATGAAAGGTACCTGGACTTGAGAAGAATGGAAAATTGTAGCACTATATAGAAACATTGGTGGTCAGTGTCGTAGGTTGCCACAACTCTGCCTCCATAGTTGAACACTGGTCTTCAGTTGAAAGGGCTCAGTTCACAACTGGGATGGTTTTTGTCCTAAGGCGCAGCAGCAGCACTATTGCCACTTTCTTTACTTTTTTTTTTAAAAAAGGGTGGAATTCAAGGTGATTGTTTCAGCAGTGCAAGCATTTCTGCTTGCCAGACAGAAGGATCTCCTCTCTCTTCCTCCCATGTGTTGTTCCAGGGATTCTTCTGACACTTCTGAGAAAATTTGGGGAGGGTGCAGGAATGAAGAGGAGGCGAATAGTCCCATTGTGCTAGCACAACTCTTTGCACTGGCTTCTGCTAGCATAACAACTTAGTTGAATCTGGCCCTTTATTTTTAAAGTGAAGCCTCAGCTTCCTTTCTGATGCAGTCTAGCTGATGCCTTGGTGTACATTTCTGCTGTTGTAGTTTCTTCTTCTCAGCCTGCCTCCCTATGCCTCCTGTTGTTGATGAGGGATAGAGGAAGAGGAAGGAGCAGGGAGGTTGTCTCTGTTGCTGCTTTGATCCTCGAAGGAAGACGCAGGCACTAGGAGTGATATTCGGTTGTCACTGCAAAGTCTCCTCCTTACTGTGTCTAAATTTGCCTCCTGGCTTGCCCAGAAGAAGCAAAACAATGGCTGAATGAAAAGCTGCTTCAGGAGCAGCATCTGAGGTGCAGTGTGCCTGCATACAACTGGCCTGCATACAACATGCAGCATTAGCAATGCTGGAAGCCATGCATCAGCCCAGGCCTCCGTGTTAAGTTTCTGTGCTGTTTCAGACATTGCCTATTGAAAATTACACTCCAATTTTTTTTTTTTAAGTAAGTTCAACTTTTTATTTTTTAAAATAGGGATGGGATTCACCTAACCCAGTATAGGGACTACCACTTGTGGAACAGATCTTCTCTCCACCCGCCCCCATTCCCCCGCCCAAAAAAATTGGCTTGGGGCAGTCAGAAGAACCCCCAGAACAGCGCACAAGGGGAGAAGAAGGAGAATTGTCCCAGCTGGCAAGCTGAAACGCTTGTGCAGACAGAACGATTGGAATAGCGAGACATTGAATTCCACCCATAGTTCTCCATTGAATATTAGGGTTTGTGGTCACTTCTGGGTCTGGGAAATTAAAGAACTTCTGTAGAATACCTTTTACCTCAATCAGATGTATAAAATACAATCACCAAATATAGCCTATGACTACAAATGAGAGCTGCAATCTGGGAAGCATAAGGCTCATTTGAATGCAGAAAAAGAGTGATCACAATGTCACATTCATGACATGAAAATTAAGTCAAAGAAATATGGGTGTATTTTGGTGCTTTGAAAGGAAAGCTGCAGCCTCCTTATTGAACACTTATAAGACAAAATGACATCTAAAACAAAGATGTCATTAGCTTTGTGTGGCATTTCAACCTGTGTGTGGATCCACAACTGAAATGGACAGAGAACGTCCCTTCTAGGATCTTCCCTCTTTATGTGTAGGTTCTTCCTGTCTTGCAGATTCCATACTAATCATCTAAACTCTTATGTTTTGGTAACCCCTGGATCATTTATAATTAGTCTAAAGTGTCTTGAATAATATACTTGGGTCACACAACTACCAGAGAAAGAGCAAGAAAACCCAAGTGAGACTGAAGCCATGTCCAGTGAAGGTTGGTACAGCTTGGCACTGTAGCTGATATCAGAACTTGGACATTGCCTACTGCAAACAGGATGTGGAGCAGTGATCAATAAATCCATACAGTCTCTGGCAAACATCAATGTGTTTCATGCGGACTCGCTATGCTTAGAGATGCTGGTACCCTCTTTCCTGTGCTGTCCCTGGTGATAGAGAGTAATGCTACGGTTCTCACTTCTCACTGCTTGCTGGGAGCTGCCTTTGGATGCTATTGACGCTATGTGGTTTGCAGAGTGACTCAGGGTGGGCAGCAGGATCAAAGGTTTCTCTCCTGGCTCGGGTGGGACGGATTCCACCGGCTGCTCTGCAATGTGTTTTCTTTCCACTGCCCCCTCGCCAGCCACTTATTTACCTTTTGCTTTCTCTCCTTGTGCAGCATGGAATAACCCACTCTCTGTCCTCCCTACTGTGCATGTGCAATCCCCTCCATTGCTAGTGGCTTTTCACAGGCACTGTATGGCATAGCACTGTGCATGAATGGCTCTTTCTTTACAAGGCTTCTTCTAGATTAGGGGTGAAGAGCAAAACAACACCCTTCCTCTCTGCTGTCAGTTCGTCACTAGATGTGTTTTGTGCCTCTCCTGTGCTTAAGGCTCTGGCCAGCCCTACCAGGAGCCAACTGGCACAAGCGAGTTTCCACTTGAACATATGATGCTGCCTTATAGTCAGTCAGACCATTGGCTCATATGGTTCATACTGTTGCTAGTGGTAGCTTTCCAATGAGATCTCGTTAGCTTGAAATGCCAGGAATGGAACCTGGGACCTTCTGCATGCAAAGTGCACACTTTGCTAATGATCTGTGACTCCATTTGCTCTCTCATGGGTAGAAATGCTCTGAAATACTACAGTGTTCCTCTTGGGCAGGAGAAGGGGGCTCTGGTAGTGCTTTCCCTGAGCCAAGAGCCCTTAAGAGTGTAAAAGAAGAATGTAAAGAAGAATCAGAAGGATTGTTAGCTCTGAAGAGTTAGAACCCCAACAAGTTTCCTAGTTCACTTCAGCATTTCACTCTGATGTCATAGTACTTTGATTTACTCTTTAGGAACAAGAGCCAGCTGAAGATGAAACTTAAGAAGCTGCCTTATAGCAAATCAGGTCAGTTATTTATCTTGCTCAGTATTGTCTTCACTGTCTGACAGCAGCTCTTCAGGGTTTCAGATAGGAGTCTCTCTTAAGTCCTACCTGTAAATGCAAGAGATTGAACCAGGGAACTTCTGCATGCAAAGCAGATGCTCTACCACTCACCTATCCTCCTGTATAGGGAGGATAGGGAAGGTAGTTGTATGGGATAAATAGGATATGCAATGCTACAAAACAAAATGAATATAAATGCAAACCTCTAGCCTACTTCCTAGGGTGAAAGCATAAAGGTTACCCAGTATGCCAACTTGAGATGGGTTGTGGTCTTCCTGTCATGGTGAAAACTCCCCCTGAAGTTTCCATCCTAGATGTGTGAATAGCTAGTCCAAAATATTCATATTTTTATGCCCAAATTTCCAGACTTTGCTAATGAGTGTTGCTTTCTCTTTTCTTGGAAAACTGCACCATCCATCTTCCCCCAAACCAGTTAGTCCAGCATCCTCTTCTACATGGCCCATTCCAAAGGCAGGCTGAATTTTTTCTAACATCAGATCAGAGAGGGCCAGTTTTTAATAACGACCACTTAGCTGAGCTGGATTCTTGAGCAGTTAATAATATTTGAGGATGATAGGGATGCACATGGAGAATCCAGAAAGTGTAGCATGGCATATCATATCGCATAGCAAAAATCCTACACTGAGTTACCTGAAGGTAAGCTATACATATGTTTTCAGAATATGGAGCAGATCTTGCAGTGACAAAATAGTACATGTTGAGTTGTGCAGATTTAACTGGCTCTGGGCAGTCACTTTGGTCACAGCACTTCCTGCAAAGCTGCTTGGATCTTTAATTGTGTGAAGGCTTGGAATCTTCTCTCCTATGCCCTAACTGATACAACCCTAGCCTCCCATAGGCCATTGACTGGTACATACTGGCCTGCCCAGAAAGCTGTATGTTAAAGCTTCTGCAGCTTCCTACAGTTTTGGACCTCAGGTGTTTGTTTGTTTTTGGCATGGTTATACTGCAATTCTGCCTTTTTCCTCCCTTGTTGTAAAAGGAAACCCAAACTCCCCTGTTTAACTTGTAATAAAAACTCCACTTTCTTTATGAGAGAGATAATCAAAACAGGGTTTGTGCTGTGCACTTTTATCCAATACTCTCTTAAGCCTCCACTCACTCCTCTCCGTCATACTTTTAACTGGAGGTCACCATAACAGGGCCTTTTCAGCAGTGGCACCTACCTTATAGAACTCTTCCTACAGGAAATAGGGTTGGCCCCTTCAGGTATAGTGGTGATGTTAGTATAATTATTTATTATTATTATTATTTAGTAGTAGTAGTAGTAGTAGTATTTTGATTTCTTACCCACCCTTCACCATAAGGTCCTAGGACAGGTTATAGTAGCTTAAAAATCTAATATTAAAACACTTTAAAACAAATTACAGTCACAAGAATAGGGTGAGTCCTAACAATCTTTATCTTGGGTGTCAAAGCCCACAGTAAAAAAAAAGTGTGTCTTCAGCATATGATGGAAGTTGTATAATTAAGATGCCATACCTCTATGGGAAGGGAATTTCACAACTTTAGGGCTGACGCAGAGACTGCCCTCTGATGGGCCACCCCCCCAAAAAAAACCTTCTGAGGGCAGTGGAACTACCAAGAGGGCCTCCTCTGCTGATAAAAACATCTGAGAGGTTCTATAGGGCAGAATACGGTTTTTCAGATATTTAAGGCAGCATTTGGCTACCATATCCTGTCAGTGCTGGGATTTCTGTTTGCACAACTTTCCCCCTCCCCTCCCCCTACACCCTCACCAAATCTGCTTCAGAGGATTGGGGGGACCCCTAGGACAGATTTAGGAGGTGCACGGGATAAGGTGAGGGGCATAACACTCCACTGAGCAAGCAGAAATCCTTGTGGTGAATTTCTACATTGGATTCTACCATTGGGGCATAAGTCATTTAGGTCTTTAAACACCTTGAATTGGGCCTGGAAACAAACTGGCAGCCACTACAGCTGATTTAAAACAGGGTTTATATTTTTTAAAGACTTTTAAAGGTCTTTCTTTTAAAAGGCTCTTAACTTTTTTGTTGCTTTTCTTTTTTTGACATTTTTATTTTACTGCTGTGCCTTTGGAATGGTTTTATACTGGCATGTTTTAATGCATTTTGATGGGTTTATCTTTCTTAATTTTGAAAATTTTGTTAATGCTGTTTTGTTTTATTGAGTTTCATTGCTCTATTGCTGCTCGCCACCTTGGGTGCATATGGTCCAGAAATACAGCTTTGAAATGTCTAAAATCAATAAACCAAGTAGGAAAATTAGCTAAAACCATGCAAATTGACTTAGTTTTATTCTGATTTTGGAGTTCTGAACTTCAGCCAATAGGGGGTTGCTGTGGGCACCAGGGCACAGTGGGCACATGTGCACCCATTGGCAACTCCTGGCCTCCAACTCAAGGATGGAATGCACACTAATGGCAATCCCACACTCTACATAGCAGACCTGACCCCAGAAGTGCTTCTGACCTCATGTGCAAATAGCAACAGAACAATTGCTCAGATGACCATGTCAGTCTGCTTTGCCAATTTGTACAACTTTCAGAACCAAATAACTATTAAAACTATGCATCTTTATGGATGTCAGACCCCTGGCATCTTTCATAGTCTTAAAAGGCAACAAGGAAGTATTGTCCAAAGCTAGTATTGCATTGCACAGGAAAGAGTTAAGATGAATGTGAGGCATTTCAGCTCAAGGGTGAAAGGGGCACTAATGACAATCTCTCTCACACACATCCCAAGTCAGTTTATTTATATACTACATTTTCCACAAAAACATTGTGCTCATAGTGGTTTTTAAGTACAAAGCACAAAAGATGAATTCCATGTTAGGGATCGTTAGGAAAGCAGTTGAAAATAAAACTGCCAGTATCAGAATGTTGTTATACAAATCTGGTGAGACCACATTTGAAATATTGTGTTCAGTTCTGGTTGCCTCACCTCAAAAAGGATATTGTAGAGCTAGAAAGGATTCAGAAAAGGGCACTTAAAACGAACAAGGGGCTAAAGCAACTTTGCTATGAGGAAAGGTTACAACATTTGGGGCTTTTTAGTGTAGAAATGAGACGAGGGGGTAGGGATGTGGAGGTGTATAAGATAATGCATTATGTGGAGAAATGAATAGAGAAGCGTTTTTTTCTGCCTTGCTTCTCATACTAAAACTCAAGACTATCCAACAAAGCTGAATGTTGGAACAATCAGAACAGATAAGAGGAGACACTCATTCACACAACATATAGTTATAATGTGGAATTAGCTCCCATAGTGATGGCCACCAACCATTAGACAAATACATGGAAGATACGGCTATCAGTGGCTACTAACTACAATAACTATGATCTGTCTCCACGGTTGGAGGCAGTATGCCTCTGAATACCAGTTGCTAAGAAGAGAGGGGAGAGTGTTATTGTGTTCAGGTCCTGCTTTTGTAGTTGTTGTGCAGCAACATCTGCAGGACTAAAGGACTAAAGGTTCCCCACTCCTGCTTTACGGTAACACTTGCCATTCTTTATTGAAGAGCTTTGGTATGATTATTATGCTCTTCTTGGCACTGTTTAGTCAAAACTGGAGTATTTCTTTTCAAAAGCCTTGCTGTTAAGTGCCACATCTAAGGTGACACAGGGTCTCTGTG